TTGAGAGAATTTTCATAATATATTAAGTGCATCAAGCAGCATAGGTATATAAGCCAAAAATCATATGAAGCACTAACTGGCCCCCATTGTTGCATAGGAGCATTTCAGCCATAGGGAAATATATAAACACCAGCAGCCCTTTACCCTAGAACAGCAAAAAGAGCAAAAGCCTATGTGAGAAGCAGCTAATTGTAGAACTGGCATCAGCCATTTGGAGCAGCTTCAGGCTGTCCATATGACACCAAGGATGCAAACGTGAAGTTGCTGTTTCCTGTCCACATGGGGGAATTCCCATGGTCATGGTCACAGATTTCTTGCATCCAGCCTTCTGATGCACCAGGGGGTGACCAGGTACCTAGGATAGCTCCCCAAAGCAAAATGTCATACAAGCCATGTGGCCTATACCATAAGTCATAACATCTCAAAATCTTCAAATTCATCCACCCAGGTATTTTTCATATTTGGTTAACAATTTTATTCATGGAGAAATAGCCCAGAAAATCCTTAGGAATAGAGAGAAATCAAAATGCTAAAAGTAGACATCTCCTATTAGATGAATAAGTTCTGGAGATCTAATATACAAGGTGACAATAGTTAATAAGTACTGTATACTTGAAATTTAATTCACCACACCCACAAAGAATGGTTAACTGTGTGAAGTGACAGATCCATTCAATATACGCACACCAAAACATCACACCATAATACATACATCCATAAAAAGCACATATGTAAATAGGTGTATTTTACCCAATTATAACCAAATGAAGCTAAAAAATCTTATCCTCACCATGCACAGTGGCACACACCTGTAATCCCAGCAGTTTGGGAGGCTGAGGCARGAGGATTACCAGAGGAAAGCCAGCATCAGCAAGAGAGACACTAAACAACTCAGTGAGATCGACTCTAAATGAAATGCAAAATAGGACTGGGGATCTGGCTCAGTGGTTGAGTGCCCCCGAGTTCAATCCCCAGTAAGCCCCTGCCCTGCCAAGAAAAACAAAAAAAGCTTATCCTCCATCATAGGATTATATCATAATTTCTGCATCTGTGTTATCTCAACTTTTTAAGAGTTAATTCTATAATTACTTTATGAACTTAATAGGCTCAGGTCATATCTAGGGTACCAAATTATCTACATTCCAAAACTATATTTCAAGTTTTCGTTTGTTTTGTGGTGCTGGGATTAAACCCAGGGCCCTGTGCATGCTAGGCAAGCACTCTACCAACTGAACGACATCCCCAGCCCCTTTAAGTTTCTAAATAAATAAATAAATAAATCACTTCAACAATATTAAAGTATTCCAACATTCACGTGCCAGAGCAGACAAAAAGATGTAGTCCCTGCTCCTAAGCGCCATACAGTATAAGCAAGTACCTCCAAAGGTACGGAAGTAGAAGGTACTTCATTTCATGTAGGTTTTGAGGTAGGGCATACATATTTGTGAGCTACAACAAGGATGGAGGACTACATGGAAAAAAGGACCTTGAACAGGACCTTGCATGATTCAAATTAAAACTTGAAAGATGGGGCTGGGATAGTGGCTCAGCCATACAGCACTCGCCTAGCACGTGGAAGGTCCTGGGTTCGATCCTCAGCACGACATAAAAATAAAATACTGTATCCAATAACAACTACAAAATAATATTTAAAAAAAAAACTTGAAAGAGCAATCCAGGAGCAAAAAATGTGATTTGGGAATCAATACAAGCCCCTGAATTACAATGAAGCAACTAGTCAGACTCTCAGCATTTTCAGAACCCCAGTGCTTTCTAGGAGTGGTGAAATATAAAATGATTGGAGGGTACAGTGCAACAGGAGCAAGAAGTAGACTTGACAAAGAAGGAATGTGGGGATGACAAATCAAACAAATTTAGAAAAACTTCTTTACTGCTGGATTTCTCCAAGCTCTCAGCAGCCTAATGCATGCTGAATCCCCATCTAGAGAGGGGAATTAGCTTTACCTAACCAAAGAATCTTATTTTCACTTAAAAAAAAAAAAGCCATAAGCATGGTGGTGCATGCCTGTAATCACAGTGACTCAGGAGGATGAGGCAGGAGGATCCTAAGTTAAAGGTCAGCCTCAGCAACTTAGCAAGACCCTAGCTCAAAATAAAAATAAGGAGTACTGGGATAGCTCAGTGGTTAAGTGTCCCTGGGTTCAATCTCTGGTACCAAAAGAATGGAGAAAAACAAACAAAAAAAGCCTTAGGAAACATTAGAATTAAACAGATTACAAAGGTACAATACTGAGGAGCTTGAATGCCAAAGCTAAAATGGACAATGTGACCTCAGTTCTTACAACAAAGCCTGGGTTTCCCATAGAACAAAGAATCACTAGCTAATACATCTTTAAATCTGTACACAGTGGACTCAGAACCATTTCTTCTACTTAGAATTCCCAATAAAGGTTAGTCTCCCAACTTTCTGAGAATACTCAACAAAGGTTTTGGAAGGAGCTAGCCTTCTTATGTAGATACTGAAGAGCCACAATGAAAATAAGAAGCACTAGAGGATTCCAAGTATGGCATGATATAAARGTTTTTTTAAATCTTGGAAGGTACTGAGCAATTTCTGCAAATTACAGGTGGCAATGTGTTCTGTTATAAAAATCAGTTCAGAGCACCATAACCAGCATTTAAATGAAAGAAAAAATAAATAAACATACACCAGGAACATCACATGAAGGAAGGGCAAGTAACGTTTATGAACCTTTTGTCTTCACATATGTTCCAGACTGTAGTTCAAAATTTCTTTCTCACTTGGATCACAGCTAAATATTTGTTCCTGAAGACAGAGGACTTGGGGCAGAGACTAAGGACTTCAGCATTCAACAAGAAGGACACATAACAGAAGCAGTAGGAAGAAAGATAAACCTGAGATACTTAACATATATATAAGAAACTGATATTAAAAAGCCAAGTTAACCACAACTGGGTAATTGGGGGGAAAGGTGGCTATAATCATGAACAGGCAATTATGAAAAGGAGCTGGTTAAGTGGTATGCAGGGGAAACAGGGAGGCATATTGGATTTTAAGAGATAAGAGGACACTCAGATGGAACCACCAAAAAAAAACTCTCCTACACAACTTCAGAAACAGGTCCACACATGGCTTTAATTTGGTCACCTTTAACAACACTGTATTAATTCTCTTTCAGTTATACAATGTTTTAAATTTATGCTCTGTCCTCAACCAAGTGGTTATGACTTTTAAAAGCACATAATCACACTAAAGAACCAATACCATCAGTTAGTCTCTGGCTATTACATTATTTACCATCCCAAGGGCTTCACTTTGATTTAGAATTTGATGGATAAGTCCAGAAGGGCCTGTCATTTGGCGCTCTGCATGTGGACGATGATTTCATCAGCACAGGGATGTATGAGCTGCATGAGCTCCACAGCACTGGCACCACTAAGAAAACACCATGCCAGGAGGAGACCAGAGGCTGCCGTAGTGAGGGCCCATCCTGAGGGAGGCCAGGGGATGGCTCAGGGCCCTGCRGAGCCTCCAAAGGGGCACCAGGAAAATGGCTGAACTCCAACACATCACTTTATCCAGGACTGAAGCCCCAATATACATCAGAATAGACATAATTAAATGAGGCAGAGTGGACTTAAAGGTAAAATGTCATCCTCAACATGCCCTTGATGAAGAGTTTTGCTTTACCGAAGCCTTTTTATGTAGTAAATTACATTCATTACCAATATTTAAAAACATCCAACATTTAAGTGTTCCGAATCTGATTTATTATACAGCAGGGAAATAACAGGTTTAGATTATACTACAAAAAAACTGGAACTGCTCATAAACAGCAACTGGGCTTAC